TGGGGTATGGGTTTGTCCGGCTTTGGTTTTGGTTTTGGCTCCAAGATCCCAGATTGCCTACTCGAGCAACAATTTCCCATAAACAGGCGTTGCTAAAGCGATTTGCATGCTTTGGGGGATTTCCCAGGCTTCCGCAACAGCGACGGCGACGGCCTCCACTGCAGCGCAGCTCCAACTGTCGCCCCAGTCAGGCGTGGCATGAGGCACAAACTTGCGACGAGGAGCGGGAGAGGGTCGCAACGCAACGCAACGCAAGGAGTAAGATAAGCACAAATTAGTGGTAAATTAAGGCATCAGCAGGGGACGGACGACAGCAGCCCAACTGCTGGTGCTACTCTGACTGCAGCTGCTCGTTGCATAGTTCTGGGTACACTCACGGCAAAACATTTCAGTCTGAAGGGGGGTAAATCTCATCCCAGTCACAGGACTCACCTCAGACCCCGTTTTGATGGACGTGCACTCAACACTTTCACCAGCTCACAGTTACACTAATAATCCATCCTTCCTCCCTGTTACCCCTCTGTCACTCTCATTGGATCTGCTTCACCCCCATTCTGGCTATCCATCCCCCCCCTCAAGAGCAAATCATACGTTCCATTGCTTATCAGTTTTCAATCACATTTTCACTCGGAATTTGGTACATTTCGTACCCTGGCCATAAATCAACAGGACGCCCGATAATCCTCGATTCCAAGGGGTGTCAGACAGAGCGAGACAGGTAGCCAGAAAGGGTGCATGTGAGAGCCAACCAAAAACAAAAAGAATAGATAAAAATTGACAGCTTGACATGTGTACAAATAGCAAATACGCATATCCCCCCACAATTCCAAATTGCTAAGGAGTCCTGTGTCAATGGGAGACGTGTTTTAATTTTATTGTACGGTTGCCGCTCTCAAGGCTTCCCAATTTTATTGGTGGCTTGTGGCTGTAGAACAGATGATGAAGAATGAGAAACCAATGGGGGTCTGATGTATCAGGGATGCTTCTACACTTTTATGTCTTGCCACGTGTCAAACGCGATCAGTTTTGGGTTCCAGCTGGTGCTTCGAATGTTCTTCCTTTTATTTACCGTCTATGCACCTGTGGGATGGTTCCATTATTTTGGAAGTCAAGTCCCATGTTATTCAAGTTTCATGTTATATCCTTAATTAAATAGTTTGAATAATTGTTCCACTTCAATTAGTCTTTTTTGGTGTATAGATTTTATTTTATAATTTATTTTTAAATATATGCCTCTATTTCCCTCTTTAATACAGTTTTAAGAGTCTTCTTTAATTGCATTTATAGCTATATTCCATCTTTCATTAACTACAATCTATATTCTCATTTCTCAGCTCGTTCTGTATAGTTTTTATATTAAATTTTACAATATGTTCCTTTGCTGGAATTATTACGTTCTTCTGTTATAGAATATATTGTTTATTTGCTATTCATGAGTACAGCCATTAAATGATTAACGCTTTTTTTAGTGCCATCTGTTAAGGCATTGTGTTTATTTGATGACTGCTGTTATGTACATTTTCAAATTATAAAATATCTTTAAAAATGAGATGCTTAAAAATTCTATAAAAATGCATGGCAAAGATATTCGTAAAACTACAACGAATATTTTCTGGAATATTTTTACTATATTACTAGTATATGTACAATTGTAAACCAAATGACCAAAAGACAGCGCTATTTCTTATTGTGATACAATGCGATCTCCATTAATTCCTTTTAATCCTCATCCATATTGAATTTAATCTCGTTCATCATATCATATCGGATTTACTCCATCTCTGACATCAAATACAACCAGAGCAATGCAATGATCCGAAGAAAACTGTTGACAAATTCCCCAAGCAATTACCAAGCCATTAACTGGTGATGTAACCACTCATCGACTGCGTTACCTTCAGGCATGCTCTTTCGTGTGTACGTTCAAACATGGTACACACATAGCCAGAGGACACAGGACAAGACTGGACTCGACTGCAAGAACATAATAAAGCAATAAAAAAAAAGGAGAAAGGAAAGACAGAATGAAAGGACGAAGGAAAGGTAAATGCCGGTGAGGGCAACTAAAGAGCCGCAAATGCTGTCTGCCTGCCTGCCTGGCTGCCTGCCCTCCAATCGCTCCCTTTCTTGTGCCTTTGTCTAATTTATCATCAAACCGGCAGGAGGACAAAGGACATGCGGTGTGGTGACCATGGAACCAGCTGGCTTCCTGACTAACCCAAACCCAAAGCCGAACCCGAAACTGAACCTGAACAAACCTGCGGGCCTCGGACATTCAGGTTGTATATGGAGGTTTATGGCTAAATTGAAACAGGTTGAGCAGGAATGGTTAAGGTAGAAATGGTCTTTAAAGAGTTTTAGGCAGTTCTTTGAGGTAGAAAGAGGGATGGAGAGAGTTATTGGAGATGAAAATATGCTACAAGGTGCCCTGAAGTAAGAGTTCTTGGAGAGTACACTGCGTGGAGGAAGTAGTGTCGCTCCCTAGCCCATTCCTTCCTTGTCAATCATTTGACTTTTCACTTGAACCGATATCTGTTTACACTAAAGACACAAGAACAGCTCCGAGATCAAAGCGAGCGGACAGGCGAATGAATGCCACTTGAACACTTATGCCAACCCAAACACAATCCCTATGCCAGTCATATACCTTCCATTCTATCCAAGGTCCCTCCGCCTTGGGCTTATCTCACTTACAAGTAATTGTAATATTATCCCTAATAAGCAAAAGATTGATAGCATTCTTGGGAAAGCCATGGCCCTGCCATAAAAATCTCTTAAGTCGGTCGCGGGGGGAAAATTATTAGAAGAGCCTCTCACTCGACACCAGTCCGAAAAGGACACAAAGGATGGCCAGCCGGTCAGCCCGTCAGCCGGTTATCTGCTCTGGACTCTCGCTGCCTGCGGACTATCGACTATGACTCCTCGTCTCATCATCACTTGAGTAAACAATGTCATAAAATCATCAATCAAAGCCTGGCCTCCTGCCACTCTCCGGACCTTTCCAATCTCGTGCTCTCGTGCTGTTTTCTTGGCCTCAGAGCCAGCTCCTTTCTGGTATTGGATGGCCCTTTGTGTTGTGCCTGTGCCTCTGTCTCGGGCCCTAAACTGTTTAAGCAAACAACACAGCACTGGACACGCGTCCGGATTTGGTTTTTGGCTTGGGTTTACTTTTACCCTCTGCCCTCTTCTCTACCTACACGTACACGTACCCTTGCCCGCTCTGGCGGCATGGGCGGCGGCACTGGACCCTGGGCCTGTTAATACAATTAAGTGTTAAATTTGTTGCTGCTTCTTTTGGGGTCGTCGGACAATGTTGGGATATTTGTAAGTCGGGCAAATTGTTTTATGGGCGTGCCGCTATTTACATTATAAGTAGATATGGGATATGGGCCCTGTTCTTGTGGCTTGAGTAGATTTTCCGTCGGGATTTTCTCAAAGGGAGATTCGGTTGCAAGATGGAAATGACATTAGCTTGTGTGAAAGGTTGTCGGAGGGGGCACGAATGGCACCATAAACTATGGAACTATATTCAAAATTGGTTGGCTGGGGATACTTCTGTATGTACATATGTACATACATATGTATGTGTATAATCTTTATTAGGTGTGTTTCTCACTTGGGAATTGCTACCATCTAAATTAGCTCATCTTAATAATGTTGAGGGGGCTGAACAAATTAACTGTAAGGATTTTGGCATTATATACGAAATCTATAACGGTTCTCAGTTCCGATTTCGAATTAATGATTAAGTTTGAGTGCTATTCTTTTGATGCTCATTATTAAATTTTTTTGTTTTATTTTAATTAAGGAACATTAATTGTTTTTTGTGTTCGACTTTACTCTACGGAAAACCTCTATAGACGAGCAATTCATGATTGAAAAATACATAGTTGTCTTCTTTGTACATAGCATTCTGAATCGGATTAAAATATAAAATGGACAATATATATTTGTACGTTTTCGACAAACGAATGAAAGAATGTACCATAGAAGAATTTTTATTTTTGGATGAAGAACTGAAAATCCCATAAAACCGTTTCCAAATGTCAAGCCTTCGCCCTTCAATAAAGATATTGTTCCAGCAAGATCAATCATGTCCAATTAGTTGCTGTTTCACTCTGACCTATGTACATACAACCCACATATCAAGACACACACCTCCACACAGATCCCCAGCCAAAACGTATACAAATCCCCACCGTTTTCTCAAGCCACCAATCAGGTTAGCCGTCAATGAATAGCGAACCATTTTCGCCAAATAGATGTCATCCATCATATGCAAGATTGCTGCCACATCCTTGCCGTTACATGCTTTTAAAGGATTTTGCATTTTTCGGCGTGTGGATTGCAACGAACTTGCTCTGCTTCGAGCACACAACATCGAACATTGCCCCTCTTCGAACTTACTACATCGAACAGCTGCTGTTAAAATTGCATTAACAGCGTATAAGATGTATAGGTTAGAGGTTCAAGCTGTTAGCCGATAGATGGCGCTACTGCTAACACACATATTTCCTTCAGGCTGCTGTTAGCCTTTGAACCGCGCCAATAAAATGTTTGAACAAGTTAGAGATTAGAGGATCCTTCCATTAAGCCATCGATGTAAGAGCCACAGATCGAAGGAGAGCGTATTCATAAGTAAATAGTTTTGTTTTTTTTTTAAATAATAATTGTATTTCCATAAACATTTAGGATGAAAAGCTGGCATAAATAATGAACTGAATCAGGGTTTTCTCACATCAAAGTTAAGTTAATGTTAGCCTTCGTGTTGTGGGCGGCGGTATTCGTATTCGTATTCGCCTTCGGAACTTTGTTGTTCTTGGGTTCGGCTTATGCTTGTTCGTTCTCGTTTTTATCTTCGTTTGATGGTTTGACATTTGGCTGCTTCTGGCTTCGCTGCCCTTTCGGCTCGACAGCGCTGCTTGCAGCATGCAACATTTGGTGTGACGTAGTGGGCAGCAGAAGTTGTATGGGAAACGGCCTTGCCGTCGCCGCTGCTGCCACACCGAATTCAGTCATTGACGCGCGCGGTTCGACAGATACGGACGCTTGGAATAACGGTTCTTCTTCTGTTCGTGTTGTGTGCCTCTCAAGCATCCAACTGCCACCCACATCTACCACCCCAAGCACCCCAACAAATGCTCTTCGCTTCTGAGATTTACAGTTCGTTCGTGAGTGAGATGCCAAAGTGTGCCAGTGTGCGTGTGTGCGTGTGTCTGTGTGTCTGTGCTAGTGTGACCGTTTGACGGTTTTCAAAAATTTTCGAATAGATAAATATTTCGAATAATACAAAAATATCTAACGAATGAGATGCCTCAATCGCTGCCACAGATCATCGGTAACGGAACAAAAGGCATCTTAGAGAGCAATTCATAAATTGACAGTGATTAAAGATTGAAACAAAGAAACCAGATATCTCTGCCAGTGTGCCCCTGTGCTAAGTGATTCTCCCCCATCGCATCTCTCTGTCTATCTGTGCATGTCTGTGCGTGTCCACCCGCGTGTGTGAGTGTGTCAGTGTTGTCTAACAATTAATTAGCATTTAAATCGCTCATTTATCTAACGTTAGACCTTCCATCCGAAAGGCCCTAATCAAACAACTCAAAAGAAAAACGTGAAACGGTGAAGAGGCGAAAACGAGAGGAGAAAACGAAACAACAAATTTGTAAGTAAGTGTGTCAACCTGTTAATTACCATAAAACAAACTGAAATCAAGCCAAATTAAATTATACAATAATACAAAACATTGCGGAAATTTAAGCCAAAAGGACTTGGAAAATGTTGATGGGGGGCAAAAAAAAGTGCGTAAAAAACGTCCGTCCTGAAAAAATAACAAACATTTGAATTCAAATAAACACGAAAAACACCCACAATAAGTGCTGGTCCTGCTCTCCGGGGTATGTCCCTTTTTTTTGGGTCAAAAAATGCGTCCGTGTACCTTGTTGTTTTTCCACTTTTTTCGCGAGAATTTTCTAGACTTTTTTCGTGTAATATTGGTTTATTTCTGGTCGAATTTTAGCAAGGAAAATGGTCTCCAATTTGTCGAGTCCTTGGCTAGAGAATCAGGGATTTGCCAAAGGATTTGCATACATTTGCAAACTGTCAAAATGGTTTAATCTCAAAGAGTTCTGGTGCACTGCGAATGAGATACTAAACTAAAGCATGTTGCTCGATTTAAAAGTTACAATTTGTGTAGCTTTTCAGTTGGAAGAGATTAAATTTGTGTAATTTTTCCAAGTGATATCTGTTCATTAGTCTTTGCTTAGACTTTGATTAAATATTTGCTAAGCAAATGAGATTTATGATTTATGTGGTTTAAAGGGTGAATATACTGAGTACTTATTGATCTTATAGAAATAGGAATGTGCTTCAGAAGCTGAAACTGTTTTGAAATGTTCCAAAACACATATTGCTTTGATTTGTGGGTGGGAGGAACCAAGATCAAGTGGAACCTAGATTTAGTGGAAAATATAACACTTTGTTAATAAGTTTTCATTGGACATTTTTGTTAGTGTGTACAGATAAAATGTAGATAAAGGGCGGAATATGATAATGGATAATGATATTTTAAAATGGTGTATACAATTATTGACCTCCTTTCATTTATATTTTACTACAAATTTTGACTGGAGATATTTATATATTTTTATTTTTCAAAGAGAATCATTTATAATGTATTAAATATTAAAAAACATGCTGATGGTATATGGATTGGGACTACGAAATATCTGAGGAAGAGGGATACAAATCTCACGGAAATTAGCAAACTAGTGCTAAATAAGTCAAGAAAATGAGCACCATACGCCATAATAAGTTGATGTACTTACATCAGACTACTGCTTTCAGTAGAGTTCTTCTTGGACTTCATCTTCATGAAATTTGTTCTCAAATACAAATACTCAATAGTCTCCATTTGACCTCCCTCCATTAACACCTGAGCTTGCTTAGCTCGAGCTAGCCACTCAATAAGAGAGCTTAATCCTCTTACACTTTGTTGACTACTCTCGGTATGTATTATGTAGTTACAACTGTACGGAAAAGCTCTCCTAGGACAGCTTGACATTTTTGCTCAATAACAAATCCAAATTTGTAAGCCATCAAGTTAATGAAAAGCCCTTGACTTGTCTGCTGTAAATGGAAATGTTTTTACGGGGGAGACCAAACAACGAAAAAACAACCAAATTGATCCCAATTGTCAACGATTTGAGGCACGCTCTCCAAGAGTGGGCCTGAGAGCCGTGTGCCCTATTAGCCTCCAATAAAAATTAACCTGGCCCCCATCCAACGAATATCCCAGACAGCCAAGACATAAATCTACGGACAGGCCGCAAAGTCAAATGAAAATAGCACGTTTTCACTCCCGAAAAATATTTTCATTTAAAGTGTGGAAAAGATTCACAATATGTGAAAAAAACAACAGACAGCCGGCAGCCCATAGTCGGAGAAAGAGAAAGAGAGAGTGTTTCTGGGAGGCTGGCTGCGATGAGATGGAAGGGGAGCATCAACATTCATCAATCTGTCAGTGGGGCCTGTCAGCTGTTTTAAGCACCCACAAAGTGCTGTTCCAGGCAGACCCAGAAACAACAACAGGAACAAGCTACAGCAATCCGGAGACGCCACACAGTCATTCAATAAAGATTGAACCAAAGTGAAGCAGCAAAACCAGAAGATAAGCACACAAAAAAGATACAGTCGCAACTGTAGATACTCTTGCAGGTCGATTGTCTTAAAATATTGTATGGCCATAAGATACTAATGCATTAGCATTACATAAAGTCGTGTAGGTCATAATTATGTACCGATATCTTACTGAAAAAGAAGCTTCATCGATTCGAGTGTTAAGCAACTATAAACTCTTCATGAGTTTTTCGAATAGCCGTTTTCATAACAAACATTTGATAAGAATTCGAATACCTTCCGAAAGGGTATGGAGATAAAGATGAGCCAGACTCTTTGAGATCTAGGGACCGAGAGAAAAACATACAAAATTTAAATGTGAAAATTTCGGAATGCATTTCTTGTGGCCCTTTGGACAGAGGGGTCATAAAATTGTTGTACTTTTTCTTGGGCAAACTTTGGTTAACTTTTTCTTTATTCTGTTAGCTCTTTGTTTTTTGTTTTCTGCTTTTTTTTTTTTTGCTTAGCCACGCGCAAAACGTGCGCCAATCAATTCCAAAAAAATACAAAAAACACAACAAAACCCTTAACCGTGTGAACATTTTTCCACTCCCACGGCAAAAACAAATTAAAGGAACAGCAACAATAACCAAAATGAAAATGAAAATGAAAAGAGAAGAAGACCGCGTCAAGTCGTGTTAAAATTAGAGACAAAAGCAATTTGTCTTTGTGCAATACTTCAGTCGATACTCAGATACAAATGTATACTTGGAACCACTCGAAATGTATCTTGCAGATACATTTACACATTTACATTTATACATCTGATGAGCCGACTGGGCTGCTTGGGTCTATTAAGCGAACGTGTTGATTGATTTTTATTTTCATGGCATTACATGTAGAAATCCCACACACAACCACCAGAAATGGTGTGTGTTTCCTTCCCATTGCGGTTTTTCTTTTTTTGTTAATGAAAATTCAACTCGGCTCTCTCCCTTCCAAAAAGGGAGGGTGAGAAAGATGCTGCTAAATCATTCAGCACTTGAGCATTGCCAAGGGTTTTTCTTCTCTAGTTGATTCTATTAATTACAGAATCGAGCTGGAAAGTGGGTCTGTCGTGCTGGAAATCGATGACTTATTAAGGAGTTTCGTCTCAATGGGAGAGGAGAGGGAGTTTTCATGCTCTGTTTGCCTCTTGAGAGTACAGAAAATATCTGTGAAATGAAGATACTCGTTAGTAAGCGTTAAATTCCCGACATCTATATAGAAAAGGCTTAGAGTTTAGCAAGTTCTTCTTTGGTTTCTATGAAGCGAGGCAGTCAGGAATCCAGTTTCGAATGTGTGATGTTCTGCTAAAGACAGAACCACTTTAACCCCCCAAAGGGTACAACTGAAGTCGTTATTCTGTCCATACTCTTCCCCCTTCTGCCCCAAAAATCACTTTTTTTTGTCAACACCTTAGCAAATAGATTTCAGTGTCGCCCCAGCACTTAGATGACTGCTGCTGCCACTGCTGGTGGTTCTGTTGGTTGCCAGTGCCACTTGCTAGACCAAAAATTGATTGATTTTATTTGCACGAAATGGTAAAAGAAAACTTCGAACAACTCTTTCCCCTCAAATAAATCGCCCGATTGTTTGTGGGTCCAAAAATGGTGGAAAAGGAAAGCAAAGGAAAGGAATAGAAAGAGTGTTGGCTGAGGTATCTGTGACTGACATTTTGTGGTAAACTCATTTACACAGCTCCGTCCCATCTTTGCCCCTTTTGACCTGGTTGGAATCGATGGCTGTTTCGACCATCCTTTCATCTATGCAAAGTTATGGAATATTTTCATTATTTTGGACTGCATGGGGGACCATCTCCCAGCTGTTGTCTGGACCCAACTCCAACTATGTTACGGGAACTTTACCAAAATAAAATTTCCTCATTCATTTATGGTTTGGAAATTGTTTTATATATTTCTTGTCCAGGCCATTTCTACCCCATTTTTTGTGTGGTCTTAGTGTGCATTATCGATGAGAGGAGGTTTTTCATTTGTTCGAAACTTCACCTGAAAGCTCTTTGCATAGTTGTGACTCGATTTCATTTCCGATGCTGCATCTGCAAGAAGCAAAAATTGTCATGAATAAATAATGATGATGATGACGATGATGATGTGGTGCCTGCTGATGTCGAGCCAAAAGTGAAGACACAAAAAATATTTTACACAGTAAAACCTCATTTTATTCTCTCTCACACATTACAAAGAGTATATTGTAACTGGGAAAATGTATGTTACAGCCAGCGGATCAGATTCAATAGTGGAGCACCACATAGATCTCGAAAACTATTAGAAATACAGAAATCACATTTTCAATTGCATGTTCTAAAAATATTTCTATTATTCTTTATTCTAACATCCGTAGAAATTCGTTAAAATTATGTACCAAACTCCTGTATATCCATGAAGTCCTCCACTGTGCCCTGGGTATCTCATTGTCGTGGTACTCGTACTTTTGTTTTTTTTTTTGCTGCTTCCTCTGTGTTTTTCCAAATTTATGGCATATTCCCAATAGGTTTGATTTTGGCCCAAGTTAAATAAAACCTTTGTCGCCTTCGCCTTCGGTCTCTGCCTCTCTCTCTCTCTCTCTCTCTCTCTCTCTCTTTCTCTATTCTCTTGCCAAAATGTATTAAGAAACCTGTCTGCTCTCTGTCTTTCCACTCCGGCAATTAATTTGAGCCCTCTACTCTCCATGGCAATTGTGTGCAGCTTTTATTATTTGATATACGTTGATCAAAAATTCAAAAATTTCAATGAAAAATGTATGGATAGAATTTTATTGAAATTGACTTAAGGAAAATATATTTATATATATTATTTTCATACTTTTCATAGCTGCCAGGTATTTATGTTAAGAAAAATCATTGCAATATTTTCTCACTATGTATATTTTATATATTTATGAATATTTGGTATATATTTTTGAGTAGGTTTAATTGATTTTGTTGATTTTGGTAGATGGGAAATTTAACTACGCGGTTGAAACTAGATATTGATATTATTGATAGTTTAAT